TTGAAATAATTGACGTATGACATACATTATTGAAAAAGCTCTTTTTTAGATCCTCGGACTTGAGCGTTCCGGCGAGGCGGAGCGTTTCCGCAAAGACTTGGGCGACCGGATGCTGCTCTGGCCTGGCTCTGGTGTACCGAACTACGGTGGAATCTTGTCGCAGGGCCTGCGCATTGCCCCGCCGGAAGCGCCTGTGGTATGTACAACAGTTGGGCTCTCAACTTTACTTTTCCAGACCGGCTACATGTTCGGCAAAGGCGTCTACTTTGCGGACATAGTTTTCCAAATCGGCCAACTATTGCCGAGCTCAAACCGGAGAAGGACTGCTCCTCCTTGCAGACGTTGCCCTTGGAAGGTGAGGATTATCGGTTTTCGGTTTGGAGACGGGGCTATCTGTAATGTGTTTTCACATCGACTGCAAGTTCATACGTTAACTAGCCTATCGTGTGCAGTAACTTTCAAAACAGGCTCCTCTGCAAACTTGTGAAAAGGATTCGGAATCCACGAAAAAAGTCATTGACAGTCTATGTAAACAACACTGCTGAAGGCGCTAGATATGCATTTTCTGATCCCACAAAACTTTATTTCGATTTCAGATTCATCCGGGGCAAAATTCTGTTGGACACTCGGCCAAAACCGTAGCACAGCGGAAGGCCCAATCCGTCATGGGTGAGCTAAATACATATTTTTCACTTCTTCTTCAGGTGAGGGTGACGGTGCCCGACGCCTCGACGCATTTCGCTCATCCAGACGGTTACACGATCCCTGTCGGCAAGCCGATTCCCCGAGTCGCCCACGATAAAACCGTTTACTCGCTGCAATATAATGAGTAACCATTCGTTTTAAAACAAATCCCTTCTTTAGGCGCATTGTCTACGATGTCAACCAGATCCACCTGCGCTACCTCGTTCGATGCAAATTCAAACTCGTCTATTAACACTTGGTCTTCTTCCCCTACCCCCCTCTCATGTCTTGTCGATTCTTTAACGTTCGGGTGTTGCATTGATTTGGATTATGGTCTCCAATGTTTTGCTCTTATTGTTTCACAGATGGAACGTACTGCTTTCTAGTTCCCGGCCCTCGCGCCTTGCTCATTTTAATCCGGTTACTCGATAAAGCTTTAATCTTAGGGTTGTTTTTGAGTAGCAAGTTTGCTCCGTAACCAATATTACACCCGGTATTTCATTACAGCTTTTCCAATTTTTGAAACTTGCGCGGCTAGCCACAGCGGCCCGGCGCCTAATAAAACGTCCGGTAGAATTGGAAACCAAGAAAGACCGCAACGCGTGCGATAGACGCGTCGCGTCATTGCGAAAGCAAGCCTGCGCAGCTAAAATCATGCTGCTATTTCGCGCCCCAGGCAAAAACCCGTACAGTACGCCTTTTCCCGGGAGCCATCGGGACCGAACCCATGGGCGGTTGTGTAGCAGCTGTCGGTCCCTGAGCTGCCTAAAATGCGACCTACTTACCGTTGCCCACCCTTTCGTTTGAAAATTCCCTTGCCTCGCCTTGCAGACGCAAATTCTTTCTGCTGCACTTATAGGAACCTCTTTCAAATCTTGTGCGATGACCGACATGTACAAGTTGTCACCATATTTCTCCGAAGCGGATAGGCAGCGTGTCGACCCCATTCCCGTAACGAATCCCTGGTTTCAACATTTTCCTTGAATTAGGTTTTATATAGCCTGCCGAGTTACCACGATTCCCCGGCGGCTTCGGGTCCGGTGGAAAATGGATGCGCATCATCGGTTCGTGTTTTCATCGAAATGAAACCAGCCAATTTAGTCTGGGGACCATGTCAAGATTTGGAAAACGCGCAAATGGCGTTAATTGCTAGGCTGAAGCAACAAGGTTTCTTTGTTTTTGCTTATTTATCAATGTTCTTTAGGGCCTTCAATAGAAAAGCTGCTGCAGAACCTGCGCATCGGGCCCAAGGTTCAGCCCAAGGCTTCAACAACTCCAAAATCGGAGCCGAAATCTGCTGCCGCAGAGGAAGGCAAAGAGAAAAAGGTAGTTGGTTCGCTACCACTGTTAAGTTTTTTTTAGTCTGGCAAGGAGAACAAGAAGGAGGCAAGGAAAGAAAACAAAGCTAAGGCTGTGGAAGCGAAAGGTGGAAATAAGCCCAGTGCTCAGCCACAAAAGGGCGCGTCGGCGAAAGTTGATGGCGCTACGTGGATCGTTAAGGTATTTCTGAGGTTGACAACGTGCATTATCTTTTTAGGAAGAGAAGCCTGGTGCCGAAATTGGACAATCTTTGGCAGCTAACGTTGATCAAGGCGTCAGCCAATTCCACGCGCAACACACAGGGCAACTATCTCTTTCGATGACCCCTGAGGATCAGCCATGGGTCCAGATCCTGGCTAAGGTTGCTTTGCTGTATTTTCTTAATATTCTCATTTAGATTGCCGAGCAGCGAGGCGTTCTTTTCGTCGGTGCTGTTAGGAATAATACCGCGACGCCCAAATCTACGATAGCTGTTGCTGGCAAAGGTGAGTAAGAAAACTTATATCTCAATGAGCATTAGATACCGTAACACTGGGCAATGGGACCTATTCGATCGTTGGGCGTATCTCGGTATGGAAAGCCCTTGGAGCCCTGCTTGGAGTCTCGTCGTTCGAGGCTACCGACGCTGTCCATGCGGCGCATACACATCAGTGGTTGCTGAAGGCAAACCAGGTGTTAGAAAACACTTACTTCAAGGTAGTACCCATTTTTAGTATCATAGAAACCCTTTCTTTAGGAGACATTGATGCGAGAAGCTTCTCGGTTCCTTTCCTCTCGGGATTCTCTGGGCGGTCATTACGCTGGTACACTTTGTTCGATGTACTAATTATAACTTTTTTCCAGCAAGCATCTCCGACCTCGTAGTTTTTGCGCTGATTTCCAAGCTCCAAAATCCACCAAGCAACGTGGAGCTGTGGCGTTCAAGGATCAAGAACATTGGCGTTTAAGTTAACCGGGTCTTGTGTTGCTTTCTGGTCATTTTATACGAATAGGCATTTTGGTTCTTTAGGATTCCCGGGGGGGGAAAGTATTCCCGGGGAAACCAATTTTTTCCTGGTGGTCTCGGGTGACCTAGTAATCAAATATAAAGTGTTTTCGAATTGTTTTTAGTAAGTTTTAACTATATTTAAAGCAGAATAACTTTCAGAAAAAATTTAGAAAAATGTTTGAAAAAGTCGAAAATTTGGTCATTTTGGGTCTTTCCCCCCCCGCGAATCCTAAAGGTTCTCTAGGATTGTTCGACCTAAATTTATTTTTTAAATTTTTTTTTGGTTAAAATGTGTGTAGTTTTTATGCTCAGGAATAGTTAAAAACAATTTAGAAACGCGTCCGCAATTTATAAAAAAACCTAGGTCTTTGCCGAAAAAAATTTGGTTTCCCCCCCCGGGAATACTTTCCCCCCCCGCGAATCCTAAAGAACCGGCATTTTCATTATCGTTGCACTTATTATTGTTGATCGAATAAATACTCTAACATTTTTGCTTCGGTCGATGTTATCATGGGATCGCTTCCCTTCTTATTTGCCCGATTTGTGGATTGACGGTCTTGTGTGGGATTGTATTGTTCATTATACCTTGTCTTTTGTAGGCAAAATGGAAGTCGACAGCACCGATAATGCGGCCACCTCCGACGCTACCAAGGCAGCTCGACCCCGATTCGAAATCAAGAAATGGTCGGCTGTTGCGCTGTGGTCTTGGGACATCGTCGTGGACAACTGCGCCATCTGCCGCAACCACATCATGGACTTGTGCATCGAGTGCCAGGCCGACCAGTCGAAGAGCACCACCGATGAGTGCAACGTGGCCTGGGGATCATGCAATCACGCCTTCCATTTCCACTGCATCTCGCGTTGGCTGAAGACGCGTCAAGTAAGTGCTTTTCGATCAAAGCTCATATTTCTTTCTAGGTCTGTCCTCTCGACAACCGCGATTGGGAGTTCCAGAAATACGGTCACTAATACATCCATGCTGTTCCAATTTCAACCCCGTGCATAACCTTCTTGTCTATTGTCATCACTTTCTCGGTTACTGCAAACACGTGTGATTTATTTATAACGTGATTTATCCGAAACATTTATGTTCTCCTTCATCTTTTGTGTTTTGCCGATGTCATGCGGTCCAATAAATTCTTTCCAGATAAGCCGCGATGCCGTTTATGCATGGGGCGGTGCCGCTGAGGCGCACCTACTACTTCTTACAACAGGGGAAGATCTTCTTCAGGGAAAATGTCTCGGTAGGTCCATGCATTCAAAACAATATTCGTTCTTTTTAGGTATTTGCAATGAGCTTCCACTTGAGACCAAAACCTGAACAAAAGGGAGTGCGGGATTTCATTTTCTGGCATTGGGCACAGCTGCAGGTATCCTTGACATGGTCGTCAACGAATCTGCTTTAGTTCAACAACCCAAAAGTTCAATTGGTCAAGCACCGGGAGCTGGAAATTATAACCCCATTTGCACGGGCGTATCTTGGTGAGACGTTAGTTCTCTTTTGAATTCGGTTATTTAGACGACGGTCGTGAGGTGCTGTTCGACCTAGAAGGGATGGGACGCGAAGAGATTGAGCAGCAAATCATACAAACACTTGGCAAGACAGAAATCGTCGGTTTTCGTTGTTTCGCTTATATATCATCGGTTTAGGTACGAAAGCGCGAGTCGTTGGAGGCTATTGCCAAAGTCAATCCGGCCGACTTTGGGACAAACTGTGAAAGACAATGTATTTGCGAGGTAATCGTCCATCGATATTGAATGACTTGTGTTGTAGGTACAAGGGCAGCACACTTGCACCGGACTCATACGGGCGCCGAAAACGCTCACAGGAAAATATAGATGGAATCACAATCTCCTATAAGTATTCTGCACGCCTCCTATCCATTAGTTTAGTTTTTTAGGATCACCACGGGTATTTTTAAATGAATTTGTTGAACGTTTGCTGATAAAGTCTTTCAGAAAATGTGGTTCCAAACGAATTCAATGTTTATTGTGAAGAGGTTGCTTCAGCTTGGCTATTATGCCACGAAACGATCAAGGGGAAAAATAAAAAAATGGATTCCTAATTGCACTATAAACAGCGACTTGGAGGGTCAGGTCAGGAGGCACCGGCAAGTCAAAGATTTCAAGGATCGCAGATCAATAATGGAGGAGGGGGAAACCACCGAAATCATGGAGGAAAGCGAACAATTACAGACATCAAGGCAGGGATGAGGAGATACCGCGTTTTGCAAGATATAATTTGACGAAGAAGGCGCATGGGTTTGGGAGGTGTGCGCTCTAAAAGAGGCCGCACTGCTTCAAGTTGTCTCGAATGATGATGTCCGTGACGGCGTCGAAGACGAACCTGCAAAAAAGCAATAGATAACAGCAAGCGGATGGCGAGATATCCAGATTACTTGATCTTAGTAGCCCTATGGAAAGGCAGAGGCTGAGCTGAATTTTCGACCGCCCCAGCTAAACCGTAATTACACGCACCTGATATTATTCGTATCCGTTGCACAGGTGAAATGTGTGTAAATCTCCTTTTGCCCGTCCTTCCGATGGTTGAGGTTCTCGAATTGTTGTTGCATAAACGAGGACGCCTGCTCGTACGCGTTCGGGCCAGGGTACTCGGGGAAACAGGCCGTCAGCGGGCTCTTCTTGATCTTCTCTTCGAACAAGTCCTTCTTGTTGAGGAAAAGGATGATCGACGTCTCGATGAACCACTTGTTATTGCAGATCGAGTCGAATAGCCGCATAGATTCAACCATTCGGTTCTAAAAAGTTATGTTGATACGCGAGATCTGCGAGTACCATTTCGTCGTCTTCGGCAAGGAACATATCGTACTCGCTCATCGCCACGCAGAAAATGATTGCTGTGACTGCTTCGAAGCAATGGATCCACTTCTTGCGCTCGGATCGTTGGCCACCGACATCGAACATCCTGGAAAACACTCCATTAGAAGTGATAAACCCAGTAAAAAGCTCGTACAAAGGCAAGACGAACTTGAAATGTAAATCCTTGTACGTGAAATGCGTCTCCACGATTCCAGTTGTTTTAACTCTTGTCCGCAACACGTCATCTTGTGAAGGAATGTAGTCATGCTGAAAAACAACGTCAGCGAATTCGACTGAACGCCTTACCCTCGAAATTCGGTCCAAATTGTTGAGATAGTAGGGCGCGGAGTCGTTGAGCTGGTATTCGCGAGATCTGGTGAAGCAATGCCGCACGCCACCATCTTCCCAGAGGCGCTTCATTACGGCCGCAAGCTCTAGTGGCAACTCTCCTTCGTCGCAATTCTGAAAAAGGTAATCAGGCAAAGACCAATTTTCCAACCTGAGACAAGGAGAAAAATTGCCGCATGTCGTTGTGGCCGTTCTGGCTGGCAAATTGGATGCCCAACGTATTCATCGCTCGAAGGATCGCGGACATTGACTAAACAACTTTTAAAACATTAGAGCGAATCCCACCTGCATGCTGTTACTGAATACGACGGGCCTGTATTGTTTCCGTTCTTCTTCCGTGTAGCCCGTCTCGTGAATGATCTTCATCTGCTTGACAATCGTGCTCTTGCCTAAACGCTTGTAAAGAAAAAGCTGAACAAATTACCAGATTCTCCCGCACCAAGCAGCAACAGTTTTACCTCTCGTGACTGGCGTTCATGGTCTGCTTTCAACTAGAAAACGCTATCAGCAAGAACAAAACGATGTACCTGTTCGTCAATCTGTTTTGATCGCGCCTTGGCATTAGTCTGGTCGGTAGAGTTTACGCAACCCATCTAAAAACACATATAAAGCCGTTTCGAAGGCAACTGAAACACGGGGAAAAGAGGGTAATTGCAAATTGATCGCTAGAACATAAGCGCTCCCGGACGTGATAAGGACATAGAGAGTGGGAGAGGAATCGAGGTCACTGGTGGATTGTGGCACTCCGGCTGGGAGGAGGAGGCTGTTCACAGCAGCCTGAAATTTGAATGCACAGCCGGGGCGGGAAAAGGAGCCCGTTCAAAAGCAGCCGGGTGAGAGGGGGACTGGAAAGAGCGTGATGGCTGGAGAGAAGGGAGCGCGGCGTGGAGCCAGCATTGCGGCCAGAAAAGTGAAACGCTAGGGGTAAATAAATAAATAAGCCGAACCCAGCGGGTTAATCAACCCAATCGGAAACCACAGAAGTATCCCTGGAGGTAGCGTTTTGCAAACAAATACCCGTGGAAAACGGGTCGGGCCCCCTGGGTCCTGCCCAGTCCTTTCCTATAGGCCGCAAATGAGCCCCCCAAATGACTCGGCTGACTTTCAACATCATCAAATGGCAACCCAGAAGCAAAAAGACAGATCGATCGCTGTAGCGAAACACACACAAGCAACCAAGAGACGACAACGCGTTCCGCCCACCCCAAAACAAATGCCCGGGCCACTCTTGTGTGCCCTCTTCCTCCTCGGGCCCGCCGAGCCACACGCAACTTCATTATACTCTCAACCCTATTAGGCCGGGCTGCCCCGCCGTTTCGGTCTTCTGTTTGGACGTGGAAATATCGCCAATTAGCCAGTTGCTATAGATTCGCAGAAAAACGTCGAAAGAAAAACGCGGGCGTGTCGGCAATTGGCAATCCCCAAGGAACGCCGGATGACAGGTGTTTTTGAGAGGCGATAGAAACCATTAGCGTTTTGGAAGGGCGCCTATGTGTAAGGCTGGAATTTTATAAATTGAATAAGCCGCGTGTAGGTATGGGGGGGAATGCAACAAATAACTCTACTTACAAGCCTTCGGGAGGCGACGAGCTTCCTTAACAATAATTGGCAACAAAAACGAGGCCAATAATGGGGCGAGCCGTCGACGGTAATAGAAGGTCGGAAAAGATGGGGAACGGGACGGCATTCAGTAGCCAGACGGGCGGGCCGATAGGGTAATCATCCGGTGAGGAAATTGGAAGGATGACCCCGAACGCGAAAACGTCCATTTTCGCGAAGAGCTGCCGGAATATTTAAAATGAAGGCGAACCCTAGAATTCCGAAAACCAAGGAGATGAGGAAACCGGGATACTTGTGGGTTTTCCCCAGGGGCCGAGGTTGGTGGCCAATGGAGAGCTGCGTGGCCTCAATGCGGATTGCTCCTTAAGAAATTCAATAAAAAAGACGCCAAAAGGGCGGTGTCACCGCATGTGCATTCGGGCGGCTGGAGGGGAGAATTATGAGGCGCGCGAGGGATTCGCGGTTCTGGCAGGCAATCGCGTCAAGAGCCCCCACGTAGAAGACGGACCGGTGGGTGGGCGAAAAAATCCAATTTAATTCATAGTCTATGGTGCCAGAGACGGGCGGGTCTTGAAAATTTGTGGAGGAGCTCTATTCACCCCACCACGCCGAGGGCCCGGCTTTTTCGAACAGGGTGTCGCAGAACGGGGGGGCTGGGAAAACGTAATGAATATGACCGGGCTTGTCAGTTGGCTGAAAGTGAAAATCCGAAGCCAAAATTCGAAATGCTAACACCTAATAAAGTAAACTCCGAAATTCTGCCTGATAATACAGCAATCCAAGCTATTTGGGAAAATTCTGACTGCAAGAGCGATAATCAGAAAATAGCACAATGACGGCGGCAGGCGTCAAGGAAGTTGTCTAAAAATGCTCAACATATCCCCCGAGGAGTCGGGCTCACCGGAAGGGCGAAAAGGAGAGGAAAAGCCACCTGGCCAAGTGATTGTTTTCGTAGATCGACGGCCGGCCAGAGGGGGACAGCGACCCCTGTCGTCGCACAAAGCACTGCCCGCCCATGGATTATTGCACCGACACGAACGCGAGGCGAAACAGGGTAGTGGACGTCAGCGAGTCGGGTCAACGCTAGCTAGATGGGGCTGCATGAGAAGGCTAGTCCCACTGTATTATCTTCTAAATGTTGAAAGAGCTATTGAAACTGTACTGAAACACAAATCAAATTCATAGCGCCCTTGAATTCCGGACTTCAAAAGGGGGAGTGGTGAATAAATGAATGGCAAAAAAAGGTGCATAGGGATGCGGGCTGTAGTGCGCAAAATTGGCAAAGCTAGCCCGAAATAAGAGATGATGGTCAAGAAGTTATAATAATAATAAGGTTAGATAAAAAGAAAGTATCCTGATAGAAGACAAGAAGATTTAGTGTAGAGTTGTTCGAAAATGAAAAACGCTGAGGATTTTCCACATAGCGCCAAAGTACGTACGGAACAGTCCATTTACGTTCATAGTTGCCTTGCGAAACGAGGTTTATCATTTTTTTCGAAAATTTTAAAATCCAAATCTTTTAAAAACCTTTAAAATCGTTAGAATTTTTGGATTGGCGTCCAGCCGGCGGGGTATTGAGGACAATTAGTAAAACTCCGCTTTTACCCTGCCTGCGTACTCTCCGATTTTTAATGCTTTCCAAAAATCTGAAGGAAATGACCGTTTTTTACTAGGGGAAGCGGGTTTCGGGGTATTAGCTTTCTAGGTGATTAGATGATTTCTGGGGCGCCTTAAACAGGTGTTACCATCGCCGAGAGCTTCCGGCTTCTGCGTACTATGCCGAGCTGTTGGCGCGTGAGACGGTGTTTGGGAGTGAGGTAGCGAGACTTGATGAATCGGGCGCTTCATTGCGGCATGCCAAGGACGCCTCCACCCAACCCACAGCCGTGCTTTCAGACGGACCGGTTCGAGACGGAGAAGTGGTGAATGGGGAGAGATTGAGATGGAGGACGAGTCGAACGCCTCACCCCCGATATATCACAACACAATGGGTGGTGTTGGCTAATTGGCTATGGTTAACCTCGGGCTCAGGGGTGGGTGACGCCAAAAGGTTTTTATCGAAATTGGAGAGTTCAAAGAATCGTCGTGGGATAGAGTAAAGTGGGCATAGAAGAAAATGAGACGAAGGTTTGGCTTTTAATTTTAGGTGGTTTTGGCAGGACAAAATAGCGTGATTTACCATTTTTATAACATTCAAAAGCCTGGTCGACCGTGGGTTTTTTAGATGTTCGAAAATGGGTTTCTGGTACTGGACTGTTAGCAGCGTATTTTATACAGATTTTAGCAGTACTTGATTTCTAGAAAGTTACAAAAATTTTTAAAGCATTTTTCAAAATTCGAAAGTTTTGATCTTTCTGGTCATTTCTATCCATTTTTTACCAAAAAGTCGATAATTTTCGAACATGATTATACGTTTTTACGAGCTCTATTTAGCGAAAAGCTGCGTAAGTTTTTATAAAAATGATTTCTATTTTGTTATAGGACCGTACAGGATTATTGGGATCAGCGCTTCCGCGTTTGACGGTCCAGTTTTTTCTCTTTCTAGTTTTTCAATAACTTTTATCATGTCCCCACTGATTATCCCCGCGCACACGCGTTGGGCGCTAATTTTTGGCGGGCAATATGGCGCGCAGGCGATGGTTGGGCGAGAATCGGGTCATCTTGAGGTCAATATTTGTCGCCTCGGGCAAGTATAGCGCCCGGTGATCGACGATGTAATGGCCAAAGGTGTCATCATCATCAAGTAGATCAAATAAGTCAACCGGTATACAACTAAAACCTCATCAGTGTCAGGAAAACTGTAGGATCTTTCAACTTTAGTCGCTTTTCCTTTCATCTGAAGTATAAATGAGGCTTATATCCTACTATATATCAACTATAATAATTTTGTTGTGGTCTCCGTCTGTCTGTGTGAAGCCGAATTCAACTCGAAGGGGAAAGGAGCTAGAGCTTAGCTCTCTTCGGATTCGGATAGAGCGTGGTCAGAAACCCCCAAACTGATAAAAAAATTACGAAAAAGTTTTTGTTTAAATTATTAAAATTAACTTTGAAAGTGGCGCCTTAATAAAACGAGTGGGGGCCCCTCTCCCCGGGAGGCCACGCCCCCTTTCTCTTCGCCCCTCTTCCCCAGGCCCCTTCGCGCGCCCAGATGCCTTTTTGAGTTACTTTAATACTTTTAATACTTTTTAATTATGTTAATTAATTATTTAAATTATTTAAAGTATCTAAAGCCATCAGGAAGGTATTTAGGTAGTTTTTGAAGGGGATTTCAGCCATGGGGGGTATCTGAAGCCATCGGGAAGGGATTTAGGTAGTTTTTGAAGGGGATTTCAGCCATGGGGGGTATCTGAAGCCATCAGGAAGGTATTTAGGTAGTTTTTGAAGGGGATTTCAGCCATGGGGGGTATCTGAAGCCATCAGGAAGGTATTTAGGTAGTTTTTGAAGGGGATTTCAGCCATGGGGGTATCTGAAGCCATCAGGAAGGTATTTAGGTAGTTTTTGAAGGGGATTTCAGCCATGGGGGGTATCTGAAGCCATCAGGAAGGTATTTAGGTAGTTTTTTAAGGGGATTTCAGCCATGGGGGGTATCTGAAGCCATCAGGGAGGTATCTAAGTAGTTTTTGAAGAGGATTTCAGCCATGTGGGGTATCTGAAGCCATCAGGAGGGTATTTAGGTAGTTTTTGAAGGGGGTTTCAGCCATGGGGGGTATCTGAAGCCATCAGGAGGGTATTTAGGTAGTTTTTGAAGGGGATTTCGGCTAGGGGAGCAATCTGAAGCCATCAGGAAGGTATTTAGGTAGTTTTTTAAGGGGATTTCAGCCATGGGGGTATCTGCAGCCATCAGGAAGGCATTTAGGTAGTTTTTGAACGAGATTTCGGCTATGGGGGGTATTGATGGAGGTGGGAAAGGATGTGGTGGAGTGAGACATTTAGGGGGTTCTTTAGGATTCCCGGGGGGGGAAAGTATTCCCGGGGGAAACCAATTTTTTTCCTGGTGGTCCCGGTTGACCTAGTAATCAAATATAAAGTGTTTTCGAATTGTTTTTAGTAAGTTTTAACTATATTTAAAGCAGAATACCTTTCAGAAAAATTTAGAAAAATGTTTGAAAAAGTCGAAAATTTGGTCATTTTGGGTCTATTTTTCGACCTAATTTTTAATTTTTTACATTTTTTTGGTTAAAATGTGTGTAGTTTTTATGCACAGGAATAGTTAAAAACAATTTAGAAACGCATCCGCAATTTATACAAAAATCTAGGCTTTCGCCGAAAAAAATTTGTTTTCCCCCCCCGGGAATACTTTCCCCCCCCGGGAATCCTAAAGAACCATTTAGGGTAGCCCGAAGGCCAGATGGTTGCAGTCGCGAAGCGACTGTAACCATCTGGTAAAAAAATAGTTCCTGTGTGTGTGTGTGTACATTTGCATGCAACTTCCGTCAGGTTGTTCCAGTCGTATCTCAAGAAGGATGGAAGCTAGGGGGATGTTTGATACGTCATTCGGTGCGTAATGGCCTGGGAACGACTGCACACTTATCAGATTTTGTAAAATACGTTGTTTTCGACATTAAAATTAGGTTTTTCTGAAATTCTGGGCTTTCCTCTTTGTTAGGAATCAATTTCCATACACCGGAAGTGGAGGCGGCTCATAAAAAGGAAGAAAGGCCGCACTCTTCACTTTTTTATGCTGGAATTCGGGAAGAAGCATGCAAATTGAGGAGTTTCACAGGGCCTAGACGGGGCCAGGGTTGAAAAGCCGCGAAGCGGTTTTTCAACCCTGGTTTATCTAATAAAGACATAACTATAACGTAGATCCGTATTACGTTACGGTATTTTAAAGTAGCATAGTTTCCGAAATTTCAAAGTTGTCAAGCGTACTCTCACGGAAATGTACATTACGTACGCGAACGGCCATGTACGTTGCGTATGTAAACGGCAACCAAACCAAAAGGGGAGCAGAGCCGCCCCGGATGCGTTTTTCATTACGTACTCTTACGGAAGCGCTAGTACGCTTTTCATTACGTACTCCAACGGATCCATACGTTACGTACACTAAAGGAAAGTACGCTTTTCGTGTTTTTTGCGACTTTTCGGGTCCCTGAGCCAACTTTCCATAAGCAACCATTCATTTGAAGTGGCCATAATGAGGGACACTCTAGAGGTCGAAGAGAAGGGCCTCTCATCTGGCCCTCAGGGTCATTATCTTCTTGGCTGGGCCTCTTCGGGTCGAAGAGGAAGAATAATGGGCGGCGGAAGGAATGGTTGGGAGCCCGTATATCATCGGCATTCAGGACAAAGGGGGGCCCTGCGGTCGAAACACATGTCTTATGGCCCAAGGCGGTTCCCAGATGTACCGATCACACAGTACGTACCGCCAGAGAGGAGCATTTTAAGGGGGCAAAAACAAACTTGGTTAGGATGGGTTACGGTAGGTGCCCCGGAATCGGGCCATTATTAAATCTTTGCGACTTTTTGAGGACCTGCAAAATCTTTTTTTTCAATTGGCAGGCTAGCAGGGGTTCTCTGGGAAGTTTTCGCGCTAGAAAAAAAGATTATTTTTCTTTTTGAAATACCGTAATTTTTGGGTCTGACTACCGGTTTCCGTTATGAAAAACTGAAAAACCGTGGAGCTCGTTGCGCAATGATCTCTGCTAGCCCGGAAGTATGAACAAAATGGATAAAATTTCAGATATCTCTCTCTATCTCTCTCACATCTCCCTCTCTCTGATTCGCCTTCTCTCTCGCTCTCTCTCACTCTCTCTCTCTCCCTCTCTCTCTCTCTCTCTCTCTCTCTCTCGCAAATCCCTCTCTCTCGCTTTCTCTCTCCCTATCTCTCTAACTCTCGTTGTCTCTTTAACTCTCTCTCTCTCTCTCTCTCTCTCTCTCTCTCTCTCTCCAAAGCCAATCCACAGCCTATTCCCTTCCCAGCCCCTTTAAAATCCATTCCCCACCCGCATCTGCCCGATCCTCTCTCTCGGATTCAAATTCAAACGTTGGCCCCCGGGGGCACATCAGTAGATGGGCGTGGCTTGGGGGCGGGGTCCCGTTGTCCATCTGCCATAATCCTCAGCCCAGCAAGAAGAGTATTGTGGGTATTGCTGTATGCTGTCTTCATCCCCCATCCAGTTGTGTGTCTGTTGTATATGACCCTGACCCCTTGGCCCTCCCCTCCCTCATCCCCTTTCCCCTTATATTCCATATCCCACCTATGTACTGCCCGTTATTCGAGTACCCCTCTTGGCTATTCACGGCATATTGCGACATGGCTACCGTAGTAGACCCTGTTTTTTTAGCTATTTCACGAAATTTGTCCGATTTGGTATGAGCTTGTATCAGGCTTGCCTTTTATTACCCATCTTTCCCCTGTGCCGGACCCACGGACTTTGACGTTAAGCTTAGGATTAGGCTTAGGCTTAGCTTAGTTTATGCTTAGCTAGTGCTTAGCCTATGCTTGGCTTCGCTTAGCTTAGACTTAGCTTAGACTTTGGATTTGCTCAGGCTTTATTTAGGCTTTGCTAACGTTTAGCCGAGGCTTAGGCTTAGGCTTAGGCTTAGCTTGGGCTTAGCTGATGCCTAGCTTAGGCTTAGGCTTAAGCTTGGCTTACGCTTAGGCTTAAGCATAGGAAGAGGCTTCGGTTCGGCTTAGCTTAGGCTTAGGCTTAGGGTTTGTTTAGGCTTTGCTTAGGTTGGCTTAGGCTTATCCGTAGGTATTCGTTTTTTTAGTTTCCATTACTTTCCAATCCACACCTTTTTCCGGGTTTTCTGGCCGGCCGCCCCTTTCCGGTCCCAATTTCCCCCTCGCCACCCGCAGCCACCTTCCAATAGCTACAGTAGCCGCATCCGTTCCGCAGTAATCCACCGCTTAATCCGTGTCCCCCTCCTGAATTCCGGGGTCTGTAATTTGTATTGAGGCGGACTTTTCGGGCCACGTCTAATTACGGCCCCGCGCTGTAATTATCACTCGTGCGGAAATTATATAGCACGCGGAAGCTGTCGGTTTTGGGGTTAGAAATACGATTTTTCAGCTATTTTGAGTTCCAAAGCTAGTAAAAACCTGTACTTTTTAATTTTGTATATTTTTTATATTTTTCATGTTTGTATTTTTTATTTTTTAGTTTAATATTCATAAAAATTCTACAAATTTGCAGCACAGCCATGTCCACCGAAGCCGAGAAGGTCGAGCTCGAGGCCGTCCCCCTCAAGACCGACACCGACACGCCCGCCGAGCCCGAGACGACCACGGTATGCAAATTTTGGAATTCAGCGCTTCAGGAGATGACCTTCATGCCCAAAGAATTTCAGTTTTCTAAATGTTAAAAAGCCTTCAAAATCAACTTTCAAAAATCCCACTTAAACCATAAATTTAGGAGGCCGTCATCGTCGCCCCCAAGAGGTCGTGGTTCTCCAAAAAGGCGACGAAGAAGGCCGACGACGACGAGAAGAAGGCCGAGGAGGGCGCCGTCACCGGGGAAGCGTGCAAGAAGAAGTGCTGGTGGCGTCGCGAGAAGGCCGAAAAGACTGAGGAACAGCAGAAGGCCGACCACATCTCCATTGGGATCAACCTGGTCGACCGCGATGAGAAGAACATCAACGATCACGTCAAGGTGAGTTTTTGAAGGTTTTGAGGGCTAAAAAAGGCTTGAACCGCTTCAACGTCGAGCTTGAGGGACTCTAGACCCGGTCATTTTTGTACAGTTTACACTACCGTAATTAGTACCAAACGTACTGGCCCAATTTCGAGCTTTAAAACGATCAAGAAGATTCTATTTCTGTACAGTTTACACCCCCGTAAGTAGTAGTATAGAGTACTGGCTCAAAATTGGAGCTTGGAAAAGCCGGGAGCCTTCGTTTTTCGTTCCACGGTCTACACCCCTTAAGTAGTAGCAATGAGCACTTGCGAAAATTTAATTTAGAGCCAAAAAAGTCGCAGTGCTTCCATTTATGTACTCTTTACACCCTCCGTAGCTAGTACCAAGCGTACTGGCCCAAAATTGGAGCTTCAAAAGCCGTAGACGTCTTTTGTTGTCCAGTTCAACTCTTCCATTGTTGTACAGTTTACACCCCCGTAAGTAGTAGCACCAAGTCCGGACATACTTTTCGAGCTTCACCCGCTGGCAACGCGCCAATTCACCCTACCTGTTTCACCCAGCCCCCCAAAAAAATCACAAATGCATCCGGTGGCCCGGCTCGACCTCCCCCGGCGGATGAATAAATGAGCTCAGCGCCTCCGGGGGCCCCTGGGCTTCCATTTTCGCGCCTGTCGGGCCGTTTGGCGGAAATTGCGGTCAGCCCCTGGCGCCCTGGAATTGGAATGTTGGACCCTCGGAGGGGTGGGTGTAGGGCCTAGCAAAAAATGCTTGGATGCAGCCGTATAGTTTTTGAAAGCCGGAGAATCCTGTTTAAAGATGCCGAAATCGGTACTGGACTGTTAGCGGGGGATACCAGATTTTTTCCAAGTATTTTTGTACGGTCATTTAATAAAAGCTACAATTTTGATAGCAGTTTTACGGTTTTTCCATTTAAAACGCGATAAAAAGCTATGAAAAAAGTTCATTTTTCTCTCAAAAATGTATAAAGAATTGCCAAAAATGCCAATGAAATGCAACGGTCATTCGTATTTTCAAAAATGTTCAAGAATTTTTGAATTTTATGCCAATCAAAAACGACCAGATCAATAAAAAATAATTATCGACATGAAAAAAATTGTTAAAAAATACTAAAAAAAACAAATTGTTCAATTTTTCACCACAAAACGACAATTATTAAGCTACAAAAAGGCTGTTTCCCAGTAACTATTTAAAATAACAACAGCGTAAACAATCCCTATTTCAGTTCGGCTTCGAGGACATCTTCGGCGAGGCCGACACGGCCCATTCGTGGGACTGCGTGTGGCGCCTCGTATTCCGCGTGTTCACCTGGACCCGGCTGTTCGTCTACCGACTTGGTGAGTCCCCCAAAAAAAGGAATTTCCTTTAAAAAGAAGTGAAAAACTCTAAAACACACCATAATTTTTGAAAAACACTATTTCAGGCTCTTTGCTGATCGGCCTGCCGGCTGCGATCATCTTCGGCGTGCTGTTCGCGCTGTTCACCGTGCTGAACGTGTTCGCGTGCGTGCCGTTGGCCAAGCTGCTCTCCATCCCGGCGCAGTGGATCGCCAAGGTTTGTTGTCAGCATTTTTTAGAGAAGTCGAAGAGATAGTCGAAATTTCAAAATGTCGAAAAGATAATGTCGGCATTGCACCACGGCGAAATTCCAAAATGGCGCCATTTTTGACAACGGATTTCAGGGATTTTCGAGAGATTTATTCATCGAAAATTCGACATTCTGAAATTCTGGCACTCTGAATTTTCGACATTCGAAAATGTCGATATTCTGAAATTTCGGCATTATGAAATTTCAATATCACGAATTTCGAAATTATGATAACAAACCATTAAAAAGTGGTTAAAACTTAAAACATTACGTTGTTAGGTGTGGACGTACGTCGTGGAGGCTGTGTTCGACCCGGTCTTCCGTTCGATCGGCCTCATCTGGTCTCGGGTAAGTCATCTTATCGTAGTTTATTTCGAATTCGCGAAATTAATCGAAGTAAATCAATATTATTAAAAAATATACCATTTAGCTAGGTTTTAGATAACCTTAACGTACACAAACTATACTTTTTAAGCTATACTGTCGATATTCCAAACGAAAACAACATCTACCCTTTTAGTTGGGTTTTAAATACCTTGAACGTATAAAAACATATCTTTTTAGCTATATTTTCGATATTTTAAACGAATAAAACAAAAATTAACCGTTTTAGCTACCTTTTAGTTACTTTAAAAATTTAAATAAACTCTTTAAAGCGCCAAAATATAACCTTCAACTTTTGCAGATCACCGCCCGCAACTACGGTATCCACAGCCACCCCACCGATCTCCCCCAGTAATTTATAAAACTCTCATTTTTATCAGATCTCCGTTTTCCCCTTCAATTTCTGTTGCTTCAGTGCTTGTCAACAAATAAAAATACAATTAAAAATTCTTGTCCCGGGTCCCGGCTGGATGCCCTGCCGCGCCCAAATTTTTAGCCCCGCGCACCAGCCGCCCCCTTTTTTCATTGTAAATTTCCCATTTTTCGAGTCCTATTGGGTAGTTTGGCTTAACGTAGCTTAGCGTAGGCTAAGCCTAAGCCTAAGCCTAAGCACCACCCCCGTTGGCCCTGTAAGATTCTTGAAAACACGATCCTCACCCCCCAATGACCAAAGCTTTTCTCGCCCAACCAAATTTCTTATTCTCTTTTTTCGACTTGGTGAATAAATCATGTTATCTTTCTAAATATGTGTTTTCATTTACAAAATTTAAATTTTAATTGAAAATTGAAAACAGCAAAAATTAAATTTCGACCATGGCGAGCTAGCAGAGATCCTTAGAAGGTGTGAATAGATTTTCCATTTTCTAGAAATACCTGTATTTTTTGACGCACTAATTGGTAACAAAAAAGATTTTTCTAAGTAAGTTTTTTGGCCGCGGCGAGCTAGCAGAGATTCTTAGGCAACCTAGCGGCGAAGTAAATACTTGATAAAGTAGTTGTGTGAATTTTAAACGTTATAATTTCCTGTAAAAAATTGAAGCGAGCTAGCAAGGAATGTCTAAACATTTGAGTAATAGTAAGAATTTTAATAAATAGCGAACTTTAATTTTTGGAAATTTTAAATTGCATAGGAAAATGGCTGCTTTTCGAGGGTTACTTTCAAAATTACGAAAGTTACATAAGCAAATCTCCAGCGAGAAAAACCCAAATTCTAAGCGGAATTTTGACTAGGATTTCGACATTATGATACCTTTTCGATGGTATTCCAGGATTTTCGCATCGTTTTTCCGGCTGGCGTCTTTCAGGATATTTGGATTCGGGATTCGGGCCATACACAATTTTTTTTCAAAGCCATTTCCGGCGAAATTTTCAAGGGGCATCCGCTCCGCTCAAAACCCAGGCCGCCACGACCATCCCCGGCGACAGTATGATGGATTATGGTGTGCAGAGACACAGGAGGCGATATCGGTCAGGATGGGACAGCTGTGCCCGTCCACAGTAACCGAACACCGTGCCCCTCGTTTTGCTGGTAGGCCGCGCGGGGGCGACGCGTGCGAAAATATTTGCAATCGACGCGCCGAGGGAGGGGGCTGTATCGTACAAAAGGCATATATCGCATCGAACAGCCCGAAATTCGATCTCCCGTAGAGGGTGAAGTGGCCGCGTTGGCTCGTTACCGGGACCCCGGTCAACGGGATCCATTCGAAAAGTATGGAGGCTGGGTGGATTGGGGCTGGAAATAGCCGTGGTTGTGATTTTGAGGCAGTTTGTCGCTCAGTACAACCTGGTAAATCACGAAAATGTACTGTAATGTCCAAAAAATCTTTGATTCAAAAATAGCTTTTTTGGCTTAATCATTTATTCGAGTGGAAAATCTTAATAGAAAACCGCGGAAATTCAAAAAAATTGGGATTTGTATAAAAACCAGCAATTTCAGGCAAAGGACTTACAGGGTAAAATTGGATCACGAGTCTTGAAATTCAAAAGAAACTCTCTCCTTCTCTCGCACTCGCTCTCTCACTATCTCTCTCTCTCTCTCTCTCTCTCTCTCTCTCTCTCTCTCTCTCTCTCTCTCTCTCTCTCTCTCGGTCTCTCTCTCGGTCTCTCTCCCTCTCTTTTCTCTATAGCTATTTCCCACAACCAAGAGTTCCACCCTACTCCCACACCGAAGTCTCAGGCTTACGGTGGCTTTCCCCGGCCATATGCCCAGCGGGCCCCAAGCCCCCCGGCGCGGTGCTTGCTCGTAATTATCGTGCCCCAAGGGCCCAACCTCCCTCCCCAATACCGCCCACCAGAGACAGACAATTGGCACGCGGCCAAACGGCTCCTGCCTGCGGGTCACGTCAACTGTCCCCCCCCAGCCCCCCCAATGCCTCACATTTGAATATCGGCTGTGCCCAGGGGGCAAATAGCACCGGGGAAGGGGCACTTGCGCAACCCCCCCCACCCCACACTCGCAGCCATTGTTGTAATTGGCGCGGGGTTGAGGACGTGGGATGGTCTCGCAACATCTTTCAACATTGTCAGCGTCCATTTTGTTGGAGTATGACGTACGGAGTAGTAGTACGTACCTTGTCACAGGTTACCTAGAGCATGGTGCATGGACACCTGAAATAATAAAGCCCTAAAAACATACCTGGTACTTTGGCATCATCGGGGGGCTATTTTTCCGATCGGAAAACTATCTAAAAACCTATAAAAACTATTGTTGCGGTTAAGGGGAACTTTGGCATTATCGGAGGGGTGTAGAACTCTAGAAGCCCTAGCAATTGAATAGCAAGTATTTTTTGTAAACTTAAGGTTAGATCATGTGGAAAAACTATCTAAAAGTTCTGAAAATTTTAAAAATCGAAATTTTGAGTAAAAATCGGCCCGTTTTTGGTCGGAAAATCAATATTTTTTTGTACTTTTTAAGAAGTTCTCACGTTTAGAAAGGGTGGCAAACTGAGAAACACTTCCTCTGGATATTAGAAAACTTGGATATTAGAGAAAAATTTCTCTCCCCCCCCCCGATAATGCGAAAGATCCAAATGCCGAAATTTAGGAAAATAATTCAGCCTACTGAATTGCCGATCTGCAAAACACCCTAAATATAAACCGAAAACGTAGCGTACCCCTACGCAACGCTCCTTTTCACGCAAATCCAACCATTGTCTTCGCCTCCTCAATGGGCACACACAGTATCAAGGAGCGGATTAAAAAAGGCTCCCGAGCCGCAATTAGGTGTGTGTGCGGGGGTGCGCAGGGCACCTGGCCTCTATGTGCAGGCGGCCGAGAGCGGCTTACCTATGGTCAAGGGGCGAGCACACGTCCATCAATGATGAAATGGACGGATGGAGGGGAAGGATGGGGCCATGTGGCAATTATCTCTCATCCACCACCACTACCGGGGGGGGGCTCTCTACGGGCCACGATTTCTCCATTCATGCATAAATGAGAGCCGGAATGTACGCTACGGGGGGATTTTGGCTCGATGCCAGGTGGGAAGGGGAGGTTTATAGTCTGTAGTTTACAAAGACTACAGAGTGAAAATTAAAAGCATTTCAGGGAGTTGTACGTGTACACCTATGAACACCTGCGTACCTAGCTTTTTACAGTCTCTGCGTAAATAGGTGTAAACGTCCAATTTCCGGAAAGTGCACTTTAGGTTGGTAAAACGAAGCTTTAGAAATTTTTGTTTTTAAAAAGTTTGAAGTTTTCGTTTTTCAAAGATGGCACTGCTACTTTGTCTCTCTGCTACGAGACGCTACGCTCCCCGCTCTTCGTCAAAACTGGGCCAGGGTACCGCTCCATTGAAGAATGGCTAAAACCAGCCTCAACGCTGCCGATGCATCCGAAAAACCAAAAAAATTTTTAAAAACCGGCTATAAACTTAGCTCTAGCATTTCCAAGCAAAAAGCAAAAGCTTAGAAAGCCAGGGATCCGAACCTGCGCAAGCCACTTCCTGCCACCAGCGCCTCGGACCACTCGGCCGTCCCAACATTTCATGGGAAAGGCAGCCGGGAAGGGGAGGCTGCCCTGTCTTCCCCTGCCTCCATTTCGAAGCCTAAAAAGAGGTTGGAAAGTAATCAAAAACTAATTGGCATAACATAAATTTGAATGGGAAATTAACAGCCGGAAGTGGGCCGTGCGGAGAAGTCGTAAAATGTTTTTCTCATTCTCCAATCATCACTGGAACTCCCGGAACGTCAGCTCTGCTTCAACGAGATGAGCACCTGCCACAACTACAAGCCGACCTTTGTGGTAATTTTGTTCTTCCGAGGCTCAGCCGAGCTGGCTTTTTTTCAGTTGGTCTTCGGCGCGGGTCAAACGGCTGATGTGGCCGCCATCGCCGCTGCCGTGTCCGCAGCTACTGGTGCTCAGCCGGCCGCTGCTCCAGCTGCTGCTCAACCTGCCGCTCGACCCGCTGCCCAGCCGACGGCTGCCCAAGGTGCTGCTCCAACGACTCCCGCTCAGCCGGCTGCTGCTCAAGCTGCTGCCGCCCCAGCTGCTGCACTACCCGCGGTTCGGCCAGTCGCTGCTCAAGCTCAACCCGTCGCCCATCCAGTTGCTGCTCCACGAAACGGACGCGCCATCAAAACAGCCGCCCGCCCGCGCGCTAACGCGCCGCTGGCTTCCCCGCTGGCCGCCCCGCCCAGGGCCCCTGGCACTCGCCCACCCCGAATGCGACTCCATCTCCGCCAAGTATGCGCTGTTTTTCAATCAGATTATAACCATTTCTTAGGTTGGCTACTGCTTCTGCGGGGCCCACGGCATCCTCTACCCCGAGTACGGTCAGCCGGCGTGCAAGCGCTGCAAGGGTCAGTTCTAGTGAGTTTTTTCCCTGCAGCGCGTCAAGCCGATTTCTTGCAGTGACGCTGACAGGTTCGTCAGGCGCGACGGTGCCGTTTGCAGGCCGAACTGTGGGAAACGTGGTTAGTTTTTCAGTTCCGCGAAAGTTCTGCTAAAACCACCTTCAAAATTGTCCATTTTAGGCCTCTGCTCTCTCCACCGCCTCCTCCACTTCGAGATGATGGGCATGCGACGCGACCTGATCACGCACCAGAAATAAGCCTTCTACAAACGGGGTTTTTTTTGTATAATAATGTTCTCTTCTTTATCATAATGATTGTTCGGTTAATGTCTTGTTCGCTTTCATGATGTGATATAACTAAATTAATTGAATGTATTGTGGCTTTAATAAAGTTTTGGGTTTGGAGCAAAAATGGTTACCTTTTGAGTTCGACCAATTCGTCTCAAAATTTACAAACGCCGGGCCCCCGTATCTGGCGTCGGGATCTGTCTGGGGCCTCCCACAAGCACATCCATCTGCTAATCCCAGCGCGACCCCGGCGAGAGGCCCACCGGCCAGCTAGAAGGCCCTCAAGTGCCCTTGTGTATGGCCCACCACACCACTTCTTATGACGACCCCACCGAGGGGAGATATTTAAACAAACTCACGCTGGTGTCAGCCTAAATGTAACGAATGGGCGGGGAGGTTCATCCAGCGCCGGAGCGCTATTAAATTCGCGTAAACTTTATACGAACACAAAACCGGTGATAAGTACGAATCACAACTAAACGTGACAACATCCAAAAACGGGAACAAAATTACACTAATCATCAACGAATCAGCGAGTCCATCTGGCTGAACATGTTGCTGATCGTCTGGCTGGACATTCGGTTCTGAAAAAAAAAATCGATATTCGAAGCGGAAGCGAACATACATCTGAGCTGAGCACCATGTTGAGCACCGAGGCGAAGGCGCTGCGATGCTCCGGGGACAACAGCGCCACCAGCTCCATCCGCCGCTCGTACATGTCCTGCAGCATTTTCGGCATCTTCACGGTGTTCGGGCGTTGCCCCTGAAAATAAGATTTTCGTGCTAGTTCGTTAGCGGAGGGGGAGCTGACTATTTTTCAGTCTTATCGCTAGAGTAATAAAGCACAGACCATTTTTAGTGGCTCAACAGTGTCCGATTGCTAAAAGGTCATAAAAGCATCGTTGCAAAATCGAGAATGTTTGAACATTTTATGCATTTTCAAAAACTTTCATGATTTTTTATAAACTTTCTATTTCTAAAAGACTGAGAAATGCCAATAATAAGGGTTTTTTCATTTTAGCGCGCCTACAGACACAGGAAAAGTTTACGACTATTTGCATAAAAAAAATACAAAACGCACCATCCTCTCCTTCATACGACGCTCTCGCCTGCGGTGTCGGCTGCCCTGGCCTTCAGCCTCGGAATCTGAGCCCGACGACGAGCTGCTGGATGACGAGTTTTTGGCCATCTAAGAAGCGTTAACCTCCCAATATAATCGAAATTACCTTGATGCGCTTCTTGCTCTTTTGTTTGTCCTCCTCACCGCTATCCACTTCACCCTCTTCCAACTGAAAATTGATAGCTATAACTGGGATATTCACTTACATCTTTAGCGGGTTCGGCCTCATTTGCCTCGGCGTCAGTCCCGAGTCCCTCGCGCATCTTCGCAATCTTGTCGGCTTTTCTCGCCTTGTTGCGCGCTTTCTTCGCGATGAGCTTCTCGCGTCTGAAATTTATTTTAACGCCACAAAAGTAGCCTATACCGAATCTTTTCGAGCTCCTCCTTCGTCGGCAATTTTGGCCTCCCTCTGGGGGTTGGTGGCTCAGGCTTCGGCAGATTTTCGCTAAAAGAAAAGTACATAAAACTCATAAGCCTACTATTGGTTCAATTTTCCCCAAGAATCGAAGGTCAACGGCTCGCCGCCCAGCATGATATTGCCGTGGACGTCTTCATCCACGTCCACGACACCAACACCCGTAGAGATCCTAAAAATCACAGTAATTTATTTAAAAGTGTTGCCCGTACGTCTGCAGAAGCGCTCCCACGCCAAATAGGCCTCTCACATCGGCTCCCTGAATGATAATTTTAAGATTAAAAAATTTTCCCTTACCGCGGCCTTCCGCTTGCGTTTATTTTCCGGAGGCTGGGGCACGATTACTTTGGCGACCAGCTGAACCCGCGTCGGGCGTTCAAACAGGATCGGGCTGATCACTTCACGTTTCCATATACTAAAAGATTGTTTTTGGTCAAACTTCATTTCCGTTCGATCGCCCAGCATCCATTAAAAAATACCGAATCAAATCCTCGAGGTGTTGCCGCATCCAACCGGGCTTTTCGTCGTGAAGCTGCAATTCGAGAAACTTCAGGAAGCAGGGCTTCAATAGCGAATCGGGCAAACCGCCAAACATCACAGAGACCTCGTCAAGTTCCTAGAAATTGCATAGACACCTCAGCTCGGCGAATTACCGGATAAATGTCGTCTATTACGTTCCAGTCGACGAAATTGATCTTCTTGACTTGGACGAGCTGCAAAAAGCATTTCCCAGGAGTTAAATCGGAATACCTCAGTAATTGCTGCAATAATATTTTCTTCCGTAGGTTCAGGCAAATGGGAGAAGTCCTCTTCTGGTGGTTCCGTGGAACAGGTGGGTTCGACGGGCGCTGAAGTGGAGCCGTTCTAAAATAGTGTTAAAAATATTCGAAAAGGCGAATACTTACCTGCTCGACAGCGGCTTTCTTGGCTTCAGGATGGGGAAGCTCACATTGACCTGTATTCTAGAAAAGTAAAGGATGAAAAACATAAGCCAAATGTCCAACCTCGTTTTGCTTCGTATCTTCAGTCGTGACACCATTCAAGATATCTTTCAAGCGCCGGTAAATCGGCTCCTCCTCGTCGGTGAGCGGCCGCAGCTCGACGGCCAGCTGGAACTCGCTGGCTAATCGGCCCAAGATTTGTGTTGCGTCTATAGACATCTGAAAAGCAATTTGAAAGAGGATTCTTAGTTGATACAAAATATTGAAAACATCGGAATTTCGAAATTGTGGCAAAACTTCAAAGAATGTTCATGGTGAACAAGCCAAAAATGTAGTCATTTCTCCAAAATCACTTCATACAAGTTTATTTCTGAGATCAACCGATATTATTGAGCAAATTAGCGAGCAAAAAGGTGCTAAAAAGCTCAAGACACGAAGGCAGGTATAATTTCGAATCTATACAAATGCGGGGAAAGACACGAAAATTTTGAGCGATAATCTTAGAAAGAGCGACCAAGCGAGCCATAATATATACAATTTCATCATTTTAGCGACGCAAAGAGTCGATCCTCTTTCGCTTCCGCTTTTGGGCTCGTCCGAGCCCGTCGAGGTGGCGGGGGTTGATTTGAAGTTTAGGCGGCCGGACGACTCGCCCGGTCAGCTCGACAAACCTCGCCCAGGTGAAGGTGCACTAACAAGATTATGTTAAGTTTTATACCAACGACAAACCGTTCCCTCCTTCGTAGTGGTGAGTTGGAGACGTTCAAGGGTATCTTGGACATCCTCCAGATTCATCCCCAATCGCTTGCTGAGGCCGTCAACGTTGATGATTTCGTTGTTTTCGAGGCGGCCAATTTCTCGGGCTACAGCCCAAGTCCAATAGCGCTGATAGCTAAAATGGGTTCTTTATAATCTTTTTGGTAATTTTTGATGTTTACTTTTTACCATTCTTACCTGGCAGTCCCTAACTCTGATAGTGGCTTCTCCGGGCCGGCAACCAAGCAGTTCCGTCGCGACAAAATATAACCTAAAGCGCATATTTCATACGGGTTTCGAGGTTAAGACTCTGTTATTCATTACTTACTCAATTGTATCAACATCGAACCATATCCTTGTCTAGAATATGGCGGAAAGACGACCAGACAAGACAAGTTGTGATGCGGCTCGTTTTTCTGCTTCGAGAAATAACCGACCGGCTTGGCGAACCCGTTCTTATCCATTTCGCCTAAGTCGATTAAAAAATTAGCCAAAAGTCTGCCTACAAAGGACGTAGAAAAAGTATTCCTCGACGTCGAAATAGATAGTTTTGTTGTCCATGAACAGCTTTGAAAAGAGACACAGGCATTGGGAATATGTCTAAAGTCGGTTGTGGCTAAATTATTAGAGAGAATAGCTTACTTTCACATCAACATTGGTAGACCCGCCGTTAACCTCATAAATCGCGACACCTCGCTGTAGATATATTCGGCGGCCAGGCGGCTGGGATAAGTTACATCCGTGCTTAAAAATAATTAATTATTACGATTAAGGACTCACCAAATGTGCTTTCATATTTTTGCGCTCATTTGTGTAGTAAAAACACATGTCGCACACATACAATTGCTTATCCAACTGCATCCGTTCCGGGTACGGAGAATAATACCTATGAGGCTTACATAGATTAGTAGGTAAAGGTCAACCTACCACGTCTCCAGCTCCCATTCACCAAATTGCACATGGGTGATATTTTTGATTTTGGTTCTCTAAAAAGCACATCGGCCTCAATTCGACGCTTACCTGCTCGTGCTGGTTTTTTATTTTGAGTTCGACTTCGTCGCTGTCCTCAAGTTGCTCGTCCTCCAAGCGTCGGAGGCGCCTCGTTTTCTCCTCATCGCCATCTGAACAAAAAGGTCTTTTCGAGAAAACGCAGTAAAAATGGTAATATCGATATTAGCAGTTTACCTGCGTTTTCAGACGCGTCCCGTGGGAGCTGCAATTTTCTCACGTGCCCAATATCGGTCCACCTGCGAAGCTATCTACTCAGTTATTTCCATCGGCACAAACCGGTCCCATTTCTTATCGAATCCACGAAAATGGATGAATATCTCGGTGTTGGGCGCATTTTCGCTAACCCGCGCGGCAAGTATGTTGACGGTGCGCCATTTTCCGAATGGGTCCTGGAATTTTCGTTATCGAAGAGAGTTTTAGCTAGTGCAATTTTCTCTATAGACTCTTTCGGTGGTACAACCGAATTTAGCGGTTTTCGGACTTTAGTTTTATTAAATTTTCGAACTAATTAGTTCTCGGAAATGAAAGACGTGCCCTATTAGATCTATAAAAAACCAGACATACCTTCGAAATACATTGGCCGCCGACGAGTGTCTGCTCTCCAGGGATGTCGAAGTGTGTCATTCAACGTCTATTTTCTTTGTCAAGTTTGATTTTTTAGATTTTTGGGTCCGAAACGCCGGGTAAATCAACGATAGCGATGAGGGCGCGCCGAGTCAGGGTCAATTGGTGCGCAGCGTAGCCGCGGTTCAGGAGGCCGGTAACCGACAAAAGACGATTGTTACATTGGGGAAAATGATTTTATAAGATTAGTAAACCGAAACGTGCTAAGTTGATCGAGATAAGTATGTTATGATCTTCTGTGTCGACATGCCTGGGCGCGCCCAGGGTAGAAAATGGCAACTAGCAAACGCCACAAGGTTTGCACGGTAGTATCAAGTTTTTATAACCACAAAAATCATTTTGGCGATGTAATAAGACATCGTAGGCACTACTTTAAAGTGCAGCTAATACTTTATAGGTAAAAATGGCTCTGCTAAGGCCTAAATACTTCTAATTAGTATATTCCAAAAAGTGTGTGTGCGGAGCGACACGGTCGAAAAATCTAAAAATTTAAATTGAAAATCGTGCTGTTAGGAGCAGATTTTTCTTAAAGTTATGTCTGTACTCCGGAAGTGTCAAAACTTTTTTGATTTCACTTCTTGAAGTTGTGCCCGACGGGATGTACTTGTTGAACTTGAGTTTCTGGCCCGGTCATTGCAACCAGGTTGCAAAACCTTTGTAATTACCGGATGATGCCGCCCAGCGAGCCATTCATCTAGAAGCCGGGCCGGCAGAAATATTGCCCCCGCGCTAGATACATCCAAAATTGCATGGCGATCCTGGCCGGCCGGCATCGTTCGTCTTCTGATGTGCCCCCGGACTACGTGGGAGGAGCAAATCCCTGCGGGACGCCACTCAACGGCTGGAGATCGACACAGAGACAGACAGAAAGACACACACCGACAAACACCTTTTTGTTGCTGTTTAGCCGCCCACGGTGTCACGCCCGGCACACCTGATGTAACCGGAGCTGGTGAGCTGCAGGAGGAGCACGAGGAGAAGGCGAAGGAGGAAGAAGGGCGCGCCTCCACTTGGCTAGAGACGAGTCGAAGCGTTTCCTAGGCTTTTGCCTTTTATTGGACGTGCTGCCAAAATGAATGCGCTGATTCCTGGGCTCAAGGTGCGTTTTTTTGGTACTGGACTGTTAGCGGGGGGTACATTTTAAAGTAATTACAGTAGCAAATAATAAACCATTCTTATAGCTTTTTTCAAAGTTTTTAGCTATAAAACGCAGATTAAAAATTACAAAATTTCGAAAATCTGTGACTTTGGTCAAAAATGTAAGAAAAATGACAAAAAAGGCAAAAAATATCTTAAAATTGCAATTAAAAACGTTTCTGATAATTACCTATCATATAAAACTACTAAATACGAGATAAAAATTAGCCTCGCCCCCCCGCTAACAGATCTGAACCCTATTTTCATACTTCCAATTTTTACAATATTTCATTTTGCTAATCAATGGGTTTTTCTGTGTAGCCGTCAACACCAAGGAGTTCAGCGCCCAAAATGTGATCGTCGTGCGCGCTGTGTGGCCATGAATATTTCAGCCCCGTCTCCAGTCTCGAGATTTATTGACACCCCAGGCGCGCCGGTGGACAACCCAAAATTTATCGCCGCCGGCCCACTTCCGCCTTTTCCATTAGTGGCGTTCCAAAAAGGGCGGCGTTTTCATACTTGGTACTGGACTATTAGCGGGGGGGGGTTAATTTTTCTCTTTTTTACGGGTTATAACGTATTTTATAACGTATTTTATAAGGCTTTTTATAGTTTCTGATTGCTAGAAAATTATAAAAAACGCTTACCAAAAAAAGCCCAAGGCCCCCTCTCAACACCCTCCTCCCACATTACCGATTAGAAGAAAAAAAAATGATCTAAATAAAATAATCTACTTCAAAAAAAATTTTCCCCCGCGGGCGGCGGATTACTTTGCGGCAGGGATCGGGGGGGTTTTCAGGGGGAAACAATATATCCGGTTCCAGGATAAATAGCGGAAAAGTTCCTAAAAGGGCCCAAGTTTGAAATCCAAAACCTCAAAAACTTACAACATTTAAAAAAAAAAATATGGATTTTTGGGTGAAAATTTGGATAAAAAAAATATTTTGGATGGTTGTTTCAGTTGAAATACAGTTAAATTGTACTAAAACTGTTAAAGTGTTTCTTATTACGTTGCTAGGAATTTTTGGAATTATAGAAAAAAATCGCCTCCCCCCGATAATGCAAAAGTACCCCGAAGATATCTTGTAAGTGTCCTGCAAAGTTTTCTAGCAGACACCCCCCCGCGCGATGACGATCCTTGGCCCCCGCGTTCCAATGGGTTTCCGGTGTGCTCGTGCTCCAAAAATATTCCGATTTTCGGGGCTCGGTCTCTGCCCGGGCAACAATCATCAACCCGGCCTCCTTCAAATTGCCCGGGCGTGTCGGGGGAGCCCGGACAAAAAAACCCGCGTCGAAAATGGGGCCTCGAGGTGATGGCCGTTTCATTTGGGCGCGTTTTTAGGGTTATTTCGTTGATGAAACAAGCCGCCTGGCTTTTGTTGCTGGTTCATTAGCGGGGGGGGGCAAAATTGTCCGATACTGCCGCATACACGAAATAATCATTCAATAAAATCAATTTTTACATAGTTTTATTTAGTGTTTAGAGATAAAAAGCGCAGAAAAAATTAAAGCATTTTAGCATTTTCGATGAAAAACGTAGGCAAATACGAAAAAACGCCACGTTCAAATTTTACAAACGGTTAACCTATTTTTTATAATTTTTTAGACATAAAAAATCGCTAAAAACGCTGCTAAAATATTCTTTTTCCGTCTTAGAGATCGGGCTGAATAAAGCAAGTTAGCCCCTCCCCCCGATAAGGCACCAGAACCCTCAAATTGTCTACAGGGTGTCCCAAAAAAAAGACCCCCCCAAAAATTTGAGCCAGAGGGCACCTACGGAGCTGAAAATTTGCACAGAGGTAGTGAAGGCAATGTTCTATAAACAAGGAAAGTTTCAGCCCGATCGGCCAGCGGCTTTTAAAGTTATAGCGAATATACTTTTCTGTTTTAATTTAATATGGGGATCTTTGCAATTTGCATCAAAAATATGCGTTATTCTTGCATTTACGAGCCGATTTTGCATAAATTTCGCTGAAAAGTGTCATTTTCTTGATGGAGCTTTTGGAAAACGATTGCGTATGAAGAATAAAATGAGTGTTAAAACAACTGTCTTATCGATCCAAATCACGTGTTATTGTACATTTTGGCAATCTGAGCTTCGTCGGCCCCAAAAAAGAATTCGACGAGCTCGAAAACAGTGCTGAGTTACTTTTAGATTTAGGCTTATGTTGGGGCTTACGCCGAAGTCTAAGCCAAGCTCAAGCGTCTAACGATAGTTTCCGCCAGGAGGTCTGGTACTCATCGTTCTTGCTGACCATTTTCTCGCTACACGAGCAAGCGTTTTCCAAAAGCTCCATCAAGAAAATGGCATTTTTCGGCAAAATTTATGCAAAATCGGCTCGTAAATGCAAGAATAACGCATATCTTTGATGCAAATTGCAAAGATCCCCATATTAAATTAAAACAGAAAAGTATTTTCGCTATAACTATAAAACCCGCTGGCCGATCGGGCTGAAACTTTCCTTGTTCATAGACAATTGCCTTCACTACCTCTGTGCAAATTTTCAGCTCCGTAGGTGCCCTCTGGCTCAAATTTTTGGGGGGGTCTTTTTTTTGGGACACCCTGTATAAGATTCCGCAGCCACGGAAAACTGCTAGAAATAGAATAAAAATGAGCGATGTTTTATCGAGACGCTCGGCTGAATAAAGAAAATTTGCTCCCCCCGATAATGAACTAGAACCATGGCTTCTTTTTCACGTATTTCGTTGATGAATTGGGTTTTTTTCTTTTCATTATCCTTTTTTCTTTTTTCGACTCCTCTCGCTCACGCCCAAAATTCGTTCATGCATTTTTGAGGCCCTCGATCCACGAGAGGGCAATCATTCCCAGCGTGAGGTTTGGGTGTTTTTGGCCAGACATTTCGCTCAAGTACTCTCCCCACAACTAGACAGACATGCTAGGTTTTTCTAAAGGGGCGTAGATTTCTTAAACTTGTCAAAAGCGCTTGCGCGCGCAGTTGCATTAATTTTGTGAGCTCGCAAAAATTCGACGCATTTACTTTTTAGACGTTTTTCACACCTGCTTTTAAACAAAGTTAGAATTTGTAGGGCGTTATTAGATGTTATTTATAATTTTGTAGTTCATACCCTTTAAGACGCAATTTTGTAGTCGTCGCATGGTATGCTGGGTGGCGGATGCGAGGTGCGGGGCAGCGCGGACTGTCACCAGACGCGCGAGACGCAAATCTGCCGGCTGGGCTGGATTTTGCTGACCATGTGGCTGCTGATGATCATCTACATGACGAAGGTGAGTGGCCTAGGGTAAGCTAAGCCTAAGCCAATCCTAAGCCGAAGCCAAGCCTAAGCATAAGCTTGTGCTCATTATTAATAATAGCTTATTAATGTACATTTTTACTTGCAGGAGATGTGGTGCGGGGCGCCGCTGGAGACTCCACGTGACGCCAAACTACGACAAAAATCGCCGGGCGCCATTTTGGAGGTCTAGCCAATTACTGGATACTTTTAATGATTGTATTTTTACGGGTCGATGCTCTGCGGGTTTTGAAGAAATAAATTTATACAGAAACCGACGATACATGTGCACTTTTTGGGGGGTACCCGTTACAGCAACGAATCCCCATTCTCCAGGCGAACCTCGACCCCGTTCGCGTCGTCGCGCGCCACGGAGGTGAGCATCGTCTCGGAACCGTAGCGCTGAAAAAATAGCTGATATTTTGCTTTGTAAAGTCAGAAGCTAAAACTTATTATATTGCGCTTTAAAGGTGCTAGAAAATCAAATTTCGCAGCGAATCTATTTGACCAAAAAAAAACAAAATTACAAAACAAAACTTCTACAGTAGATATTTGCTCCTTAAATTTTGTAATTTCTAAAGTTTGGATAATCTCGGATCTTTGGCCTTATCGGGGGGGGGGGGCAACGTCCTTTTTAGATCAAAGAATCTAGATTTTTCGACCAAAAATGGCCATACCGCGGAAAATTTTGGATTTTTACACGCTTTCTAAGCGTTGGAAATAATTTTGAATTCTAAATATCCTCCCCCCGATGATGCCAAAGTACCGCTAAAATTAACCCCCAAATAATTTCCATTTTTCTACTCACCGGCATTTGCCTTGAATCGACGTTAGAGGGCGTGTTGATCGCGGAATTTCTAAAAATTCGGCTAGAAAGTCGTTTTCCAGGAAACCCACGTCTTCGCCTGTCTGAACACGTTGAACTTGAAGCCGGCGATGCTAAAAAATTGGGGCATATTTTAGGAATTGGGGCGAATATAGAAGAAAATGGTGATGAACAATGGACGGTGCAGGCTAACGTGGACATGGTGTCGGACAAGTGATTCGCTTTTTAAAGGGACTGACAAGGCATGGCTATGAATTTTAAAGGCTCTGGATTCCCTTTCGATCCCGGCCTCCGCGACACGCAACGCGTCAGCCTTTTCCATTGCGTAATCGATTACGATACGCTTACACAGCGTCAGCGGCGCGTTGCATGTCGCGCGTTTACAAAGTTCTATGGAGAATCCATGGCCAGAAAAATACATAGCCCTGCCTTTCCCGTCCCTTTAATGCATCCGTTTTTAGTGAGATTAATTCCGTCGGGTTACTGATTCCGTTCTGGGCGGCAAGTAGTTATTTTTGGAAATAAAAATATGTTTTTATTTCTATTTGAAATTTTACAGTGTCGAAATGCGTAATATCGAAATTCATAATGTCGACATTTCAATATCCCGACCTTTACCATGAACGGATTTGTCGGACGACGTGAAAATGCCGACAAAATCCCGACAACCAAAATTCCGAAGAACAAAATAAACGTTTAAAAGGAAGCGGCATCCAGGCAGCAAGCTTATGTCGGGATCCTGGTTAGAGACTTTTTGGCTGTCGGCATTCTGGCCAGTCGGGATTTTTTCTGTCGTCATTACGACCGATTTCCTCGGAAATTAGCCCAAAAGTATACCAAAGAGTTGGAAATATCGAAATTTCGAACTCATGAATTTCGACATTTTATAAATAAGACTAAAGCCTATGCACTGCAAAACAGCCGCCATGAAACGGAATGAGTAGCCAAACGGAATACCCCGGTGTACGCAACGCATGACTGCGGTGGACAAACCCACGATGTGCGCAGATGATCGATGTGATGGTTGATATAGGCGAGACGGTGTCCAGTGGTTGCTGTCGTAGTCGAGAGGGTGGCTGACGCGTTTTCGAGGGAGAACAGTGATGGACGGTGGCTAGATATAGGGGGATAGAGGATAGAGTGGGCATTGGCTGGGTTAGTACCGGAAATTGGCGGAAAATTTACTAGGGCACGAGGAAGCGGTTCTGTTGCATTAGGGGGAAGAAGCTTACGGCAAGAGCAAGACGGCGCGGTTCTTTTGCATCATCGGGGCGGGGGAGCGGATTTAGTCGTAAGGGAAAAGCAAAACGGTTCTTTTCCATTATCCGGGGGAGAAGCTTATGACAAGGGCAAGGCGAACCGGTGCTATGGCAATGTCGGGGGGGGGGGAGGGTATCGAATTTCCACGCAAAATATTCCTGATTTCAAGCTATCCAGTTTTTCAACATGCCTTTAAAAACCTTAGAAATCTGGTTCTTTTCCATTATCGGGGGGGGGGGGGCATTTTTAGAATATATAGTTAAGTTTTACTAAAAACACGATTAAAATAGTTATTAGGCATTTTCTGGCTTATAGGAATGCCCCGATAATGGCAAAGAACCGGGGCAGCTTGAATTTGCACAAAAAAATTTAAATTAATTCCTATTTCCGCGATTAGCTTCCGATACCTAGCTAAAAATGGAAATTCCCCAAACCTTGTGTACTTCATATTCCGAATGCCGTGGGAATTTGGTGGGTTCCCCCAATGGTCTCTGCAACGCTGCCCCCGACATTTCAGCGAGATTTGTGGTGTGGTCGCTGCCACTCGTCCTGCCCTTTCTCATCGGATGTGCCGCCAAGAAGGAGAAGGAAAAGCCGCTCACCGCCTCACAAGTTTTTGTAGGCGTTTATAGAAGGAAATCCTCTAGAATTACTGCATAAAAAATCCGATTTTTCGATCAAAATACTTATTTTCAAAATTTTTCATTTTTTAAATCGTTTGTCCATGTGTGAAATCTACTTATTTTGTACGAAAAAATTTTGAAAATACTTCCTACAACCTTGCTAGTAAGCTCTGGGCATATACCCCTCCCCCCGCCCCGATAATGCGAAAGCCCCCTCGACTGCAGAGATCCATCCATCCGGGCCAGGGATTTTGTATCTCGACTCCCTGTCGTCCTACAGATGTGTAAAGTACACCAAAATGTTCGCCTTGGTCTGGCGAGTATTTTGGTATACGGTACACACCTACAGGACGGCGGGTAGCCGAGATACAGTAGACCGACTTGGAGCGTGGGAGGCCACCTAGCAGTGCCTTGTCGGCCCCTTTAATCTACGTATTCCAGAGGCCAAAACCCGGCGAGGTCGAGCTGAACGACCCGAACTACCAGACGCTGAAGATCGTCGAGGCCGACCCGTTTGCCAAGAAGTGAACAAGCCGACGGAATGTGCTGCTGCCCCGTGTCATGGATGAATCCCTGCTGCTGCTCCTGGACTCTCTCTCTCTCCTTCTCCCCCATCTACCCTCTGCCCGTCATCCTCATCATCATCATCCGAATTAAAGCGCCTATTGTGGTCAATTTGCGGCTGTGTCTATTAGAAGAAATAGGTCAACCACCCATGTTGTCTATTCGAGCCCTCTCCCTCGTGGAATAAAGCCTCGTCTCTTGCTTGGGTCTACGCCCCCCCGCCTACGGTATCTTCGCTCCCCTTTATCCCATTGTGGAGGTTGGCTGGAAGGGTATCGGGACCCTTACCCGGCCAAACCTTAGATTAGAAATAGCCAATTTTGTGACATGAGAATTTGGCTTCTTATTGAAAATTACTTTAAAAACTAACGCAAATAAAGAAGCATGAATTTTTGGCACTTTGGCATTATCGGGGAGGCGGGGATTGCTCAAGGGGGAAAACCCAACTTTTTCGGATTCTCTTTATGCAGTTTTCTGATTTGAATAGAGCAACTGTTTTTCAACGGAAAAAAATTATAGACGCAAAAAAATTACAAATTCCTATCAAAACTGCCAAAAAAATTATGATTTTTCGAGAAAAATTTCGAATTTTTCAGAATTAAAAATTTTTTTCAGGTAGTTTTGCCACTTGGAATAGAGCAAAATGTGATGAAAAACACCATAAAAATATCTGTTATTGGGTTACTAGATATTTTTAGGTATTTAGCAAAACAATTAGGTTCACCCCCAGATACGCCCCCCGATAATGCCAAAGCAACGAAAATTTAGCGTAATGAGGGGGAATGGCCCTAAAAGCCTAATACTATTTCTATAAGCCAGAATAAGACAGATTTCCGACAAAAACTAGCAAAAAGCAAAAAGCAAGAAATCCATCCTCACTGGGATCGAACGGGTCATTTCCATATCTCCTAAATACATATCTCCTAATTCCATATCTCCTAAAGTCATATCTCCTAAAAGTCATATCTCCTAAAGTCATATCTCCCAAAGTCATATCTCCTAAAAGTCATATCTCCTAAAAGTCATATCTCCTAAAAGTCATATCTCCTAAAGTCATATCTCCTAAAGTCATATCTCCTAAAGTCATATCTCCTAAAGTCATATCTCCTAAAGTCATATCTTCCTAAAGTCATATCTCCTAAAGTCATTTCTCCTAAAGTCATATCTCCTAAAGTCATTTCTCCTAAAAGTCATTTCTCTAAAGTCATTTCTCTAAAAGTCATTTCTCCTAAAAGTCATTTCTCCTAAAAACCTTACTTCAGGAGTTCAGTAGATACAAGCAAAAAATTTTTGTAATTTTTTTCGGAACATCTACAAAACCGCCCACAGGCTTCGAAAAACCCGATTTGAACATTCTAAGATGGTCGGATAATAGTGAAAAACATCGGATCAAACGCAAGCTAGCTGTAAATTAAGCAAAAGTTTCGCGCCTGTGAAAAGCGAAAACATATCATATCCGATCTCAACATAAAAAGGGAAGTGAGGTTTTTAGTTCGGGATTTTCGAAGCCTGTCGGGGTTTTGTAGATGTTCCGAAAAAAATTACAAAAATTTTTTGCTTGTATCTACTGAACTCCTGAAGTAAGGTTTTTAGGAGAAATGACTTTAGGAGAAATGGCTTTTAGGAGAAATGACTTTAGGAGAAATGGCTTTTAGGAGAAATGACTTTAGGAGAAATGACTTTAGGAGAAATGACTTTAGGAGAAATGACTTTAGGAGAAATGACTTTAGGAGAAATGACTTTAGGAGAAATGGCTTTTAGGAGAAATGACTTTAGGAGAAATGGCTTTTAGGAGAAATGACTTTAGGAGAAATGGCTTTTAGGAGAAATGACTTTAGGAGAAATGACTTTAGGAGAAATGACTTTAGGAGAAATGGCTTTTAGGAGAAATGACTTTAGGAGAAATGGCTTTTAGGAGAAATGACTTTAGGAGAAATGACTTTAGGAGAAATGACTTTAGGAGAAATGACTTTAGGAGAAATGACTTTTAGGAGAAATGACTTTTAGGAGAAATGACTTTTAGGAGAAATGACTTTTAGGAGAAATGACTTTAGGAGAAATGACTTTTAGGAGAAATGACTTTTAGGAGAAATGACTTTTAGGAGAAATGACTTTTAGGAGAAATGACTTTTAGGAGAAATGACTTTTAGGAGAAATGACTTTTAGCAGAAATGACTTTTAGGAGAAATGACTTTTAGGAGATATGACTTTTAGGAGATATGACTTTTAGGAGATATGACTTTTAGGAGAAATGACTTTTAGGAGATATGACTTTTAGGAGATATGACTTTTAGGAGAAATGACTTTTAGGAGATATGACTTTTAGGAGATATGACTTTAGGAGATATGGAATTAGGAGATATGTATTTAGGAGATATGACCGGAAATCGGATCGAACCCGGGACTCTCGAACCGTGGACAAAACCCTTAACCATTCGGCCATAGCAACATAAAGCCCATCTAGTATACATATATATTCGGTTAGTAATCCATCTACTTAGTCGAACAAAGAGGGTGATGTGCCATGCCTTGTCAGCTACATTCAGGTCCAGCCTGAAAACCCAAAAAACTCGGCTTACTTTTGTGTGTGCCGGGCGACAAAGTCGAGCGCGCTGTGCGTCGCGTTGCCCACCGACTGTCGCTTCCGGTTCATTGCCAACGAGTGCTGCGTGCGCAGTTCCCTGAAAATTATGCTTTTTTGGGCGCTTTTGCATTATCGGGGGGAGGGGTGATCGACTTTTTTGTAGAAGTTCAAAGATAATAGTGCCCGTTTTAATATTGTTTTTTAAGAAAATGTAACCATATTTCAAGTGGAAAAACTACCTGAAAAGTTCAAAAATTTCAAAAATTTTGCGCGAAAATGCTGATTTTTAGTCGAAAAATCGTTTTATTGTGTTTCTGATTAAAGAGTCTCTGGTTTGGAAGTGTTAACAAATTCTTAGGCTTAGTCTGAAGCATGGCTTAGACCTAGGCTTGGTCAGGTTTTGGCTTAGGTTTAGGCTTGGTCAGGTTTAGGAGGCTTGTTCCGGCTCAGGCTTACGCTTGGCTTAGGCTTACTCTTAGGCTTAGGCACAGTCTTAGGCTTAGGCGAATTCCCCCGCCCCCAATAACGCAAAAGAACCAAACATGATTACACCATAAAAACCCATACCGGTTAATCAGCGCATAGAGCATCGGATTGGCTGCCGAGTTGAAGCATACAAGGAGATGAGCCCCGAAAAAGACGGCCGTCATCCCGGGGGTCATTAGCGACGCCTGGACGATGTTGAACTCGAGCAGCAGGTTGAGCGTCCACTGCGGCGTCCAGCAGAAGAAATAGAACAGAATGACGGCGATGATTCGCATGGTTACCTGGAGAAGGGGGAGCTAAAGTTATCTTCCGCTACACTCCTAATAACACACAAAAATTTGGTGCGTATACGGACTACCTGCTTGACTCGATGTGCCGAGTGTTCGTTCTGTTTGCTCGTCCCGTTCTCGCGGCTTGACTTCCGGATGAGGCTGGTGTGTCGTTGCAATGACCGGATCACCTTGAAACAAAAATTACAAAATTAAAACAACCTAAAATTTACAAAAATGGGTGCTTGGGCATTATCGGGGGGCATAAATTTTTCTTAGGATTTTTGCTATACATTTTTTTTTGTTGTTGATAGCCGTTTTGGAACCGATATTACTCGGATAACCGTTTTTGAACCGATATTACTCGGACAAGAAAAAGAAGTCCCTACCGCCGCATAGAACCCAGTGATGAAGACGGCCGGCACCGCGAAACCGAACAGAAACGTGTAGATGATGAACACAAAGTCGGGCTCGTACGCGCATTTCCCGATTACGTTTTCTAAAAGGTTTCGTTGTCTGGTGCTTTTGCATTATCAGGGGGGACGAAATTTTTTGCATAAGTCTAGAAACGCCTAGTAAGGTTATAGCAATTATTTTAAGTGTTTTTTAGTAAAGTTTAACTAGGTTTCAAACTGCAAACGGCCCAAAAAGTGCTAAAAATTATCTAAAAATGCAAATTTTAACGCAGAAATGCACATTTTTTGTAGTTTTGATGGCTAATGCCCCCCGATAATGCAAAAGCTCTAGTAATAATAGCGTAGTATGGTTCTAAGGCTAATTCCTACCCGCATCCGGTCCATCCGGCATCTCCGGCAGCGCGATGTTGTTTTTGATATCGTAGTAGACGACCGTCGATTGGATGAGGACGGGCAGTAGAAGCACCTGAATAGCAAGATATCGTAATTATCGTAAAGACCAGAAATTCTAGAAATTCCCCCAAAAACTCACAATCGCCACGATTGAACAAATGATCAGCACCAGTAACGCCATCCCCGACGAGCGCATCCTGAAAAAAATGAGGTACTGGGCTCTTAGCGGGGGGGGGGGTACCTGTCTAGCATTTTGTTTTATGGTATCTTTGCTTACTAAAAAGTCACAATACCATTCTTAGCGATTTAAAAATTAGAAATTTTGACCATCTGCATCGTTTTTGACCAAAAAACGACATTTTTGGAACAATAATGTTCTTATAAACGTCGTAAAAACGTCTTCCCCCCCCCGTTAACAACCCAGTACTCCACAGATTTGTATAAAACTACCTCATCGACTTGACGGGCGAGCAAACGGCCATGTAACGGTCCCAGGAGAGGACCGTCATCAGGAAGGAGGACAGCAGCTTATTCACCGACTCGCCGAACCAGTACAGCTTGCACAGGATCGGCCCAAAGTGCCAGCCACCTAAAAAGGATTTTTTTTCAAGAATCAAAAGCTCAAAAAATTTAATAAAATATGTCAATTGAAAGCCCTTAAAAAATGATAAAATACCTTTGGCAATCTCGACGATCAACAGCGGGAGGTGGAGAATGACGAGGAGGTCAACGATTGATAGCCCTTCAAAGTTACCCATGAAGACAAAATAACTTAAAAATACCTAAAACGTAAATAAAAACATGGTTCGTCGACGAAATGGAGCGCCGTCTGCGGTATGCTCCTCGATGGACAGACGTCAGCACGTTGCACGTCATCACGATTACCAAGCTGAAAAAGCAGGTTTTTTTGAAGAGCCTTTTTTGCGAAGGAAAAATACCGACAGGCAAAAAGCCGGACAGACATAATACCGACCGTGAGAATCCCGACGTCCAGGAGCTCGACAGCCAAAATGCCGACAGACCAAAACACCGGCAACCATAATCCTGGCAGCCAAAATCTGGGATTTTCTCCCCGGAATTTTGACATCGGAATCTTGAATGTCAGGTTTTTTGTTGTCGATATTTTGCCTATCGGAATTTTGACTCTCCGTATTTTGGCTGTCGCGGTTTTCAATAAATATTTTTAATAGAACAAGGAGGCCAACCTATTTCCGATGGTGCCGACGACAAAACAAATGAAATACGAGATGAGGAAGAACATCTTCAGCGTCATCCGCGCTGTGTCCCCCGTCTCCTCCTCGGCCATCTCTTCGAGCTCGAACGAGCCGTTGCTCATTCTGGAAATGGAGTACGAGGTGAAACGGAAGGACCAAGGAGAAGCTGCAAACCATGTAGCGGCCAAAGGTAAGAGCGTGAAAAGTTATGGGGGGCATCGATGCATAGCGGATTAGTCGACGGGTCGTCCAATAATACGCATTCATTGTTTTTTTCCCTGCCAAGGGATCAGCTCCCGGGATTTGGGCTCCAGCTGGAATTTAGCCAAATTGGCCTGGTTCTTTGGCATTATCGGGGGCGGTGAACAGCGGAAAACCTAACTTTTTCTAATATTTCGACTTTCTAATGTAAAAGAAGAAATGTCTTTAAGCTATTTTTTACTATTTCGAAAGACAGCTACCCTGGAATTTAGTGAAAAAAAAAAATACAAAAATACCGATTTTTCAAAAAAAACCCGGCTTTCGACCCAATTTTCGGATTTTAAATATTTTAAGCCTTACATTTGGTTTCTTCCGTTAAAGACCCCCCCCGCTAAGAGTCCAGTCCCGAATGAAAAGCGGAGTTGCAAAACTTGCAACACGCCCGCTACAAATAGCGAAAGAACGCTTGACGCTGGCAATGAGCCGAATTATTCATCATTTGTGAATTAACGATTCCACGGGGTGTCCCGAAAATTCGCGATGGCCATCGGGGGCTAATATAAATTAAGGCTCCCAGGGGGCGCAAAAAAAAAAGCCACAATCCAGACCGCCGATGCTACGCTTGAAAAACTACTGTCGAAAAGTTCAAGAAAAATTCGGCCGAAAGTGAAAGGGGTCGGTATTTTAGTTGTCGGGATTTTCGGTTGTCGGGATTTTGACAGGCGGGTTTTGGATTGTCGGTATTTTGCCTGTCGGGATTTTGGCTAGCGGGGTTCGGACCTGTCGTTATTCAGGCTGTCAGGATTTTCGCAGTCGGGATTTTCGGTTGTCGGTATTTTGCCCGTCGTGATTCTGGATTGTCGGTATTTTGCTTGTCGGGATTCTGATTGTCGGGAATGTAGGCATGTCGAGATTTTCGTTATCGGAATTTTGGCTATAATGACTTGTTTCTTTTCCCAAATTAACGATTATAAGCGTGTGGGGCGGAGAAAAAGGAAATGGCCCTATTATAATCATAATAAATGATTAACCAAACGATAATATAACAATTTAATCTAGTATAAACAAGAAAGCCGGAAGAAAGAGACGCCCGCAGCGCGGAACGCTTATAAGCGCTCATTTTGGTCTCGCCGTCCGCCCAAAAGATTGATAGTTTTCAATTTCGCAGCCACGTCAAAAAAAGGTGCGAAGGCGGCGAGGCGGCCTTCTACCAGGGCGATTAATTATTCAAATGTCGTTTAATTAGAAGCAACGATGGGGGGGATCGACGTCAAGCGCAGAAGGCGTGCAATCGAGCGGAGATCGGGCGGATTCATGGGGAACGCAAAATTTATTGAGTAGGCGTAAGTAGTGTCGCGTAGTAGCCGCCCACGCGCGTACTTATCATTGCGTAAATTCACAAAAAAGCTGGTTGCTTTAAAAATGTCGAAAATTCACAAAATCGGAATTCATAATTCTTAATAGTTATTCATATCTATATTTCATATTTATAATTCGTAATTCAAAATCTTTAATTTTTTCTTTATTTTTTTTAGCTGAATAAGGCCAGAGCAAGAACTTCACAAGCTTTCTTAGCAAAATTTAGGCCTATTTCAAACCAAAAACTAACTAGAAAACAGAAAAATTGTTAAAAACCTACATTTCTGATATTTTTAATTTTTTGAATCAACATTTGTAACGTTTTTACGTTTGTAAATTTCGCAAATTTGGCCCTAATGAGGACGAAAGAGGAACGGCCTTTTTGATCCCAAAAAAATCGAGAAACAAGTGGAAGCTGGGAAATGAAGCCTAATCTTCGATGTGCAACTCCCCGAACAAAGCACAAGCTCAAAAAAGGGACGAGAAGGTGCTCTTTGAGAAGGTTGAAAGGGAATCTTCGTGGGCATCCAGAAGGCCGTGGGGGGCATCTGTTGCCGCATGAGTTTCTCTCTCTCACTCTCTCTCTCACTCTCTCTCTCTCTCTCTCTCTCTCTCTCTCTCTCCACATTGACGTCTTCTAGCTCTCTCGTCAGTGGCCTTCTCATATTATGTCAGTATCCCCGCCAGCCTGTTGTGTGATAAGAAGCCAGAGTGATTCGATTCCTCCTCCTCCCGGGCTATGTGGAGGAGGAGCTATCCCCCCCTCAACACCCACACGCCCTCAAATCCATTTTAATGTATCGATCAGGGTTGGGGGGGGGGGGGGAGGAGAACGATGTGCGAGGCTAGGAACTGGCATGGATCATTTGCCAAAATTTCGACAGCCAAAATCATCGGCAAAAATCCAGACAGCTAAAATTCCGAACGCAAAATATCGACAGCAAACATTCCGAAATGTCGTAATCACGAGAGTAGAAATTCTCAGCCAGAGGATTATTCCGTCGAAATGCCGACAGCCATAATCCCGACACTAAAAATCCCGACAACCAAAATAAGGAAATCCATCAGTCCCACGGCCAAAATTCCTAAAGCACCAAAATGCCGACAGTCCAAAATACCGACAGCAAAAATTCGGACAGCCCGAATCCCGACAATCAAAATCCCGATCGCCTAGAGCAAATCTCGACGCATTCCTGACGTTATTTTGAATGCCACTTTGTTTAAACAGCTATTCGACATGTCGGGATTTTGGCTGTCGGTATTTTCGAGTGTCGGTCGTTTGGATGTCGTGATTCCCCTTTTTCCGCAGGGCAAACTAGCAGGATCCTTGGGGACCTTTGACGACGATCAAAAAACCGGAGCGTGAACCCTGATGCTCAAAATTTGGGCGCGAACACACCTAAGGATCGAGGCCGAGGGGGGACGTCTTCTAAGGATGGGTGAAGGCTGAAAAATGGGGGAAATAAGAGCCCTCAGGGGGGAAGAGGAGGAGCCTCTTGAGGTAATAGACTGCGGGGCCACGTAGCGGGGAGCATCAACGAAAAGGAGGAATGAGTGGAGAAGGAGACCCAGCCAGCATAGACTGCTGCTTCAGAGTTCACAGACATAATTCGATCATATACAGCGAGGCAGGGGGGCAAGGGACGCTTTTTCCCCGGGGGGGGGGGTTCCGCCAGGATCAAGCGGAAAATGGAAAAAAATGTTTTTGATTGTGGAAGAAGGAATCTGCCAAAATTTTGAGCTCGAGCTCCAAACTAATCCGGTGCCCAAAACAAAAGGCTAATCGGGATAAGCCGAGGTGTATTACGTTGTCACGATCTCTTGATGCTTTAAGGTCACTAAATCGAATGAGACAGAGAGAAAGCGAGAGAGAGCGAGAGAGAGAGAAAGACGGACAGAAGGATAGAGAGCCAGAGGGTGAGAGAAATAGAGAGAGAGACAGACAGAAAACAGAGAGAGAGAGCAAGAGAGAGAGAGAGAGAGAGAGAAACAGCCAGAGATATAGAGAGCGAGAGAATGCGCGAACGTGAGCGAGTCTGTGACAGCGAGAGAAAGAGGCGGAGAGCGACAGGGATTTTTCAGCTTCTGATCGCAACCGGATACCCAATTTAGTCTAGAAAAAAAAGACAAAAATACGACGCACAAATGCACGTGAGGCTTTTGCGTTCGGCTATACCGGAAAGGCAGCAGAGCAGGGGTTTTTGGCGTGGCTATATGCGGAGGATGATGGGCTCGTTTGGAGCCGTCGGGTGGGGGGGGGGCAGAGGCTCGTTCACAAATCTCGAAAAGACAAAGGCATATGTCATTTACAGAGACCACCACTTTTTATGCTTTAGGGCCGCTAAAGGACGAGGGGCATCCAGTTGGGGCTCAAAATTTGCGCTCAACAGCGGGGCTTCGGCTTTGGCTTAGGCTTAGGTTTAGGCTTCGGCTTAGGCTTAGGCTTAGGCTTAGACAGGCTTAGGCTTAGGCTTCGACTTACGTCTAGCTTGGCTTAGGTTAGGCTAAGGCTCAGTTAGGTTCAGGCTTAGGTTTAGGCTTAGGTTTCGATTTAGGCTTAGGCTTAGGCTGCGACTTAGGCTTGGGCTTAGGTTTAAGCTTCAAGCTTCGCCTATGTTAGGCTTAGGCTTAGCGTAGGCTTAGACATAGGCTTAAGCTTAGGCTTCGACGTACGCCTAGCTTGGGCTTAGGTTCAGGCTCGGCTTCAATTTCGGCTTAGCTTCGCTGAAGAAGTAAATCAATCAATGTTCACCAAAGCTAGGCTACGGTAAGATGGTTGTGACTTATAAAAGCGGAGGCGCCGGATGGAAATAACCACACCGCCGCACCGGATATCATAGCCATATCCTGCAGGGGGGAAAGGCGCTCCAGAAGCGGAAATGAGGCCTCTTCCCCCTGCGAGGGCAATGATTTTTTCCAGCTTTGGGTCTAGTAAATACCTATTTTTATTTTTATCTAAATTGCATAAATCGATGCGTTATATATTTATTTATGGCTGTTACATTCAATTTTTATAAATGAAACTTTATGTTTATTAATATACCGACAAATTTATCAAATTTGCATAACAAACAAGCACCAAGAAATGTGGAGGCAACCTCCTTGCCGAGGTTGAGAAATGTGGCTCCTTTCGGCTAGCGACTGAGCCTGAAAATAGCCAAAATCCCCGGCACCGGCTCGAAGATCCCGGAAATGGTGTTACCGCGTGGGGATGAAAGGTCCGAATTGTGAGAGTCGAGTCAGTGCCCTCCTTCTCCTTCTTCAGCTTCTTCTTCTTCTCGTCACGGACGCGGGACGACAAATCCAATTCCCACAATATCCACCACCCGCCGAGAAGACTCAAAGCCATCCACACCAACGCGGTGATATTCAAAGGAACCGCTGCACTGCTCGCGGAATTTCATAAAAAGGTGCTGAGACTTTCAGGACGACAGCCAAAATACCGACAGCTAAAATCCCGAGATGCCAAAATTCCGACAGACCATCCGACAAGGCAAAATACGACAGACCGAAGTCTCGACAAGCCACAATACCGGCCGACCAAAATCCCGAAACCTAAAAT